TTGGAATATATACCAAAGTACTAAAAAATAGTTCTCGGAAAGACGCTTAACTTGAAAAAAAGAACGTTCAAATCGGTCACATAAGTTCCGAGATATCAAGTGTCAAAGTCAACAAGCGTTAGCTGCAAAACTATGCATAATGTAACAACAACAAAAATTGAATTTGGTAGGTTTTTTAAGAACTTTTCGTATGTGCTTTTATAAATATTATCGCACGTGTGCTTTTTATATGAAAATTCAATGAATATCGCCAAACCGACCGTTTGAGCCGCAAAACCGGGGGGAGGGGATGAATGATAGAAATTGAAATCGCGCGTTCAAAAAGAGCGCGCCCTCTTCGGCGTTCAATATCTCGGCTTCTACGGCTCTGATTTTGATGATTTTTTTTAAATCGATATAGCAAAATGAGAGGAATTCAATTATCAAGATTTCATTGAAATATTATAAAGCCTTATCAGCCTATTACGACTGCTTAAAATTTCATACATTTCATTGTTGTATATTCATGTAAATAATATCGATGACTATTGTTAAGAGGTATTAATTTTAATAACTACTTGGTAATAATGTTTAAAATCTTGAAATTTTTATGTCCTAATGTAATTTATTTATTGTTTACATATAAAATAGAAAAAAATGCAGATACAAATAATTATTATTTGATATTTATAAAACGTATCATCGCATTATTAAAAAATGTATTAAGCTTTTTTATAGCATAGTTGCTGATTTCGCTCTCAAAAATTTCTTCCTTTAGTAAACAATTAAAAATCGCACTTTGCAATTCATTATACAGGCTGTCATGCGGTGACGACCCATTAGAATATTTCGGAGACTACTTCGATTTGAATTTTGAAAATTTTTGACCTGGTGGTTTTGGAGGTTTTATTTAGAGTTTAAATAAAATAATGCCATTGTTGTAGTACTTCCGGTTATACCGGTAGTCGCCACCTATTTGCTTATTATAAATGGAACATCCTGTATATTTTTGTATATTTGAATTCTACGCATATTTTTAGAGGACTTTTATAAAGCTTCCCTATATGTATCTCTAATGGTCTAATGGTCTTCGACCTATTTCAATTTCATATTTATTGTCGAATTTGATTGACCGAACCGCCAAAACTTGGTTTTTCTAAATGGGACACCCTGTATATTTAATAAAAATCTGTTGTAGAAATTTACTCCACATCTATCCATATTACACCTCCCTATACCTATCTTTTAATTTTTCTGTTTTTGACGGATTTTGTGATAAATAAAATGATCCAATTTCTTGCGAGGATGGCTATGAAATTGCTGGCAAATTTAAAAAATCAAATTAACCAACCATAAGTCATTATTTGCTGTTAATTTAACAGTGGTACCTACTTACAATTAGTTAAGCACTGATTTGAAAATAATGGACAACAATACTTATTCAAATGCTGATATTATAAGTGAAAATACCAATGATGTAAAAAAGTGAAAAACTTTAATAATACGATAATTATGAAAGTATAATAAACACGTTTTGTAAAAATAAATAAATAATTATTTGTATCTATATTTTTTTCTATATTATATGAATACAATAAATAAATTACATATTAAATAAAGATTTCAAGATTTTATTTAAACATTATTACCATGTAATTATTAAAACTAAAACCTAGTAACAGTGGATTATGTACCTATATCCTACCATCGATATTATTATTTACATGAATATACAGTATAACAACGAAATGTGGAAAATTTTTAGTCGTAATAGACCGAAAAGGGCTTTATAATATTTTAATGAAACCTTGATAATTGAATTCCTCTCATTTTTCTACATCGATTTAAAAAAAAATCATCAAAATCGGAGCCATAGAAGCCGAGATACTGAACGCCGAAGCGCGCGCGCTCTTTTTGAACGCGATTTCAATTTCTATAATTCATCCCCTCCCCCCGGTTTTGCGGCTCAAATGGTCGGTTTGGCGATATTCATTGAATTTTCATATAAAAAGCACACGTGCGATAATATTTATAAAAGCACATACGAAAAGTTCTTAAAAAACCTACCAAATTCAATTTTTGTTGTTGTTACATTATGCATAGTTTTGCAGCTAACGCTTGTTGACTTTGACACTTGATATCTCGGAACTTATGTGACCGATTTGAACGTTCTTTTTTTCAAGTTAAGCGTCTTTCCGAGAACTATTTTTTAGTACTTTGGTATATATTCCAACCCGCAAAACGGCTTCACGAAAGTATTTGTTTATAAAGTTAAAATTTTTCGAATTTTTAAAATCGCTCCAAAAATTATTAAAAAAAAGAAAATTAATATTATAACGATTCTATATGATAGTTAAAGAGTCCAAGTATGTGTAAAAAAATCAGCGCCAATTAAAATGCCTAACTTTAACCCCAGCACTGACGCAAAAAAATAACGACATTTCGCGCTGAAATTTAGTAACAAATTGTCTCATACCAAAACTATCAGACCGATTTCGATCGGGTTTTGGAATTTCGTTTTGTAATCCTTTAAAGTACTTACATGTACATTTATAGTAGAATTGGACAATTTCTTACCTATCAGTTGAACGCTTCAAAATTACCTCGATTTTCATCACTTTCTTACGCTGTTTTGGCTTTCTAGCAACAAAAATATTGAATACGCAGGTCTCAAAACAATTGTGTCTTATAGCAAATTTCATAACAAACAATTTCAGCAGTAATAGTTTTTTCTGTAAACTGCATATTTAAGAAGTTATATTGGAAAATGTTAGGAAAAACACGTGATTTTTTAGTATTTTTGCAGTTTTTAATTTTTTCTGCGAATAGCACAACTATTTTTCTTGGCGCAACCTTATATTTTCATTGTTTATATTATTTTCGACCGATTTTTACTAATATTTAATCTACGTCAAGCAACAGCCATATCTCGAAGGTTTTGAGCTTAATTCTCTTGGACTAGTAGGTAATATACATTTTTCTGGCCAATCAATATTTTAAAAATAAAATTAGGATTGACCAGGCTTCATTAATTTCTCTAACTTGTCTCTGAAATTGGGATTCAAGAAGTCCCAAATCTTCACATTTGTTTAGAAGAAAACAATGTGTATTAATAAATATTGTTAATGTAATTGATATGTTTCTCTCTTTTTCAATATGTTATATGACTAAATCTCTATTTTTATAAGCATTACAGCAAAGAGTACTAAATAAAATTTCGTAAAATTTAATTTTATCATTATTTGAATCTAGAAAATTTATATACCTAAAAGTTTTCTGAAGTAGAAAAATTATTATTAAATAACTCCCTAATACTTTTAGGGGACAATATTTTTGAAGGACTAATGGCACATTTTCCAGTGTATCCTGTCATTATGTATGGTTCACTATAATTATGAATAATTTAATAATTTAATACCTAAGATTAATAACCAACAAAAAATGAGTATTAATAGGTATAATCTCGGAAATATTTAACCAAATGCATAGTGCAGCAACAATTTCCAAAATTTAAATATTATAAACATACAAAAATATTTATTTGATACTTGAACTAAAGCATAAATAAACTAAAATATACGAAAACATATATTTTTTTTGCTATAAAGCTGACTTAATAAGTTTAAACATTCTCGTGAATGAAATTAAACTAGGTATTATTTTTTGCAGCTGCAGTGAGTACCTATCCCATAACTACATGTGTAAGTTTAGTGATATGTAAATATGTATTTTAATTAATAAAAAATTGGAATATTGTGCCACATTTAATTAATCTAAGTAGAATAATTTACTATAAACTTTCTAATAAAATGTGACGTAATTAACAAGGAAACTACTCTGGACCAGGATGCTTCTTTTTATACATTTTAACCTTCAAATTGTACACCTTTCACTAAAACACAATTCATTCTGTATAAATCTGTGCATAACTATTCAAAAATTCTCAGAGGTCAATTGATACCACTTAAAAAAGCTACTAGGTACAATTACAAAACAGAGATTGGATTGCACCGATTTGGTTCGGATCCGGCTAAACAAACAAGAAATGAAACAAAAGTAAAAGCCAGGCACTGGCCCCGATTACACACAGGTCAAATCCGTTTGATAATTTTTTTACAATATTCTCTCGTCCTAGTTTTGACTGGAGTGGTTACTCTTAATCTTTTTATATCCTACCTGAAGCCTCTTTATGAAGTCTGGACTCAGTGTTCTTTCGGTATCACCTGGCACAGACAAAATAACATCATAGTAAAGCGTTTGATCACTTGAAGTTTCTTGTGCAGCACTTTTTTCACACAAAATCGCGGAAAAGAGCACAGAAATCCTGTCCAAATTTTCTTTTAAAATTTGAGTACATGACGGTTTTATTTTCACTGTACCTACAACTGGCTTTGACATTTTTTCCAATGCCCATGCTTACATGGTGATTTATTACTAGTATTTGTATGAATTTTGTGATAGAATGTTTAATGACGTTATTATTTAAAATTATTCCATTAAACCATTTAATGTTTCTGTGACAGCGACATTTTGAACGTACAACTACAGCGCCACTGTCAAATTTAAAAGACGGGAAATATGCGTACTATTTTACGCGGATTATTTAAATAAAATGTATGCAATGAAGCATTTGCCTGATTTATTTAGAAATACGTAATGCACAAAATAACTGGTTATAGATCAACATTTTTTTGTTGCGGACCTTCAGTAAGTACTTAGACATAAATCCCATATTAAATAGGTTTGAAATATGAATTCTAAATTGCAGACCAAATGTAAATTTTGAAAAGATAAACAATAAGTTACACTCTGACATAAGAGAGTGCATTTTCTTAATTAATTGATAGTGATTAAATATTCCTAAGACCTCTGAGTAGACTAACATTAGAGAAATAGTACAAATTTATTTAAAAAAAACTGCAATAAAGCTCTAGCTATTTCCCTAGTAGTTATTTATAATCTCATTGTCAAGTTTTTTTTTTTGGAAAGGAAATTTTTAAGACAATACTATGAAATACAAATTAAATGTTATATAAATTTAATAAAACACATGTATTTACATTTTCTTTTCACCCATTAAGACACTTTTTGTAATAGGTTCAATAACTGTGCCCATTTTGGTAACCACAGACGGTTCTATTAACTTCCTAAAAGCAGTCTCTGGTACAAAAGTATTACCAATGGGGGCCCTCATGCTAGCCTCATAATCTTTGACACTTTTAAAAGGGAAAGGCAGTTCAGAAACCATATGAGGTTTTATTTTAGACTGGGCCTTTTCATTTATTATCAGAGAACCTTTGTTGTCATCCTTCCTAGGTACTTTTGGAGGCATTTTTATAATAAATCTTCTTCTTCGCTTGCGAGGAACAATATTAGTACCACCCCAACTACCCCAACCAGGAAGATTCAAATCTATATCACCAGGAATATCTTGTTTAATTTCATTTTCTTTTTCTCTCTTAAATTCTTCAGTTATATCGTCGTCTTCAAAAGCTTCTAAAATAACATCTCTCTGACTACTATTTTCTTCGTTTTCGTCTGTGATTAAAATGTCAGGTATGGCAGTACTTAAATTTGTTGTTTTCACCTGTATAAATTTCAGAGGGTCTATATTAGAACTTTGTTCGTGTACAACAGTATGTAAAATATTTTTCAAATGGTTCACATCCAAGCTAGAGTTTTCATTGGAAACATTTTCTGTCTGTAATTCAGAATTTCCTATCACTTCAGTCATCTCTTCATCTATAACAGGTTTCTTTGTTTTTGAAGGAAGTGTTAGGTCTACTTTTTGTTTTGTTTTTTTCTTACTAGATGTACTTTTGTTACGAATATCTTTAGATTTCTTTAGTTTCTTATATTTCGTCTTTAATTTATTTTTCAATTTTTCTTCCAATTTGCTAAAAATGTCTTCCACATCATTACCACTTTCTAATAAACTTATTTCCCATTCAGATGTACCAGATGAATCTTTTTCATTACTCTTAATTTTCTGTTTACTTTGTAACTTACTTTTATTCATTTCTTTATTTTTCGACTTCTCTAAAATCTTGTCATTATTGGACATTGCTGACTTTATTTTATTTTTGCACTTCACTAACTCAACTTTGTTTTCTTTAGTGGCCTTATCATCAGTGGATTCCTGTTGACTCCCATTTTTCGAACATGCAATTTTATTTTCTTTGAGACTTTCTGACGTGGCATTTTTTTCATCCCAGTATTTCCTATAACTACCAACAAAATCTGTGACTTCCTTTGAAGGTTTTATATTGGAAACCCAAGGATTGTCTCCATTGTCCCTGTTTTTATTTGATTTTTCTTCTAATTCGACACCTTCCTCTTCAGAATCACTGTGCACATCTTTTAATTTTTGAGTAAGGTCTCTACTTATAGCCAACTGTTGTGCTAACTCCTGCCGGCTCTAAAAAAAAAATATTTAAGTTAGTACAATTTTATACAAAAAAAATAATTATATTAAAAATTACCTCCTTATCATATTTGGTTCTAATTTGTTTATTTCTAGCCCACTGCCCAGTGCCTTTATGCCTTAAACTGAACCTTTCTTCGGCTCTGGCTTTTTCAATGTCTTCAAGTTTTTTCAATGCTTCCTCAGGATTTGTTTTTTGAAGTTCTTCAAATTCTTTCAGTTTCTGTTTAATTTTTTCTCTTCTAAGAATTCTGTGGTATTTTTTACTTTTTATTTTATTCTGTCGTCTTGCTTTTGCCTCTTTGTAACTTTGATGTGCCCTCAATTTAGCAGCTTCCCTTCTACGCTCCTTCAATTCGTTCAATGTCAAGGGAAAATTTTCGTCCTCTTGATTTATGCGATATTCCTCAACAATAGGTTGAAGTTTTTCTAATTCCATTTGAAGTTCAGATTTAATGCGCCATGTTGTGGGAAAAGTTTCAGATTTCTTTTCCTCAATTTTCAATTTTTCTGTAGAATTTAAAGGAAATGTAAGTTGTGGCGCAACACGATTCGAGGTAACTAAAGCCTCCCATTTGTCAAGTTGTAGTCTAGATTTTTCATAATTTATAGTCCTTCTAATACGGTCAGCTTGCGGTTTCTCAAGTGGAGCAGGTAATGTTTTATTTTTGCTATTAGTTATCTGCACTTTTTTAGAAATGACTTCATGTTTCTTGCGTCCTTTTAGCGCCTTAGTCAGAGCATTTAAATGAATAGATCCCTTGTCACCAGTAACACTTTTTACCAAGTTAAATTCTGAAATATTTACAGTTGGCTCTGTTCGGGAAGGCTTCTTAACATTTTGTATTTTATTTAAATTTAAAACTTCTTCCACAATTTTATCATGTTTTCTACTATCGATCTCCTCATCGATTTCGATATCACTTTCATCACTCATAATTAGAGAAAAGAAACCCTGATTTATAATAAATATTAAAATTCAGTAGTAAATTAACCTTACTTTAACCAACAAAACCAAACACGACAAGTTAGAAGTTTTAGGTTAGAGTTGCTCACTAACATAGAAGTCATAGAACATTAGAGCATAACTACATACAAGACGAGAAACGCGTGTTAAAAAGTGCAGACGCTGAATAAAAAAAGAGCAATACAATACAATAGAGTTCGGGTACTAGGTCTCTCTCTCTCTAATCGTTGAGGAAGGAGTTGCATTAGCCAATCACGTGCATGTGCGAGAGAGAAAGGTAATCGAATCTTTCATTTTCTCTCACTGTCACTTGTCGTAACCGTGCTTCCTGCATTTAGTATATGTTCTTAGCAAAAAGTGACAACAGAAGATTTATAGCGATTTCCATTGGGGAAAACTGGGGCTGCACTCGTGCAGCACTGTCACTCCACTGGTTGTATGAGAAATATGCTCTGGTGCAATCTCAGTGGAATGACAATTTTTGCGTAGGTTTCTGACATTATGTTTATAGGTTATGTTTATGTTTTGATTTTTATTTAGTAAAAGTAACAGTTGACCAATTGAAGTTTTTCAAAGAAGTTAGTTACAATGAACCAAGAATTAAATTTGAAATTTAAAATAAACGACGAGGAAGATACATTGTGTATTCCTGTAGACGAAACGGATCACTTATTTAAGTTTGTAGATGACATTTTCAATTAATCCTTCCACTTGTGGCAGTTGTTTGCGTATAACTGGTATAACATACATTTCATCATCACTACTACTACTAGATAAAAACGATAATAATGCAACAACAACTTTGTCCACATTTACCGCCATTTTTTCTTGCACTGACACCGGCACCAGCTCCAAGACCTCGTGCGAAATAATATGCACTCAGAGCAAGAACTGTTGCTCTAGTTTTTCAATGGAATTTGAAAATTTGCACCAACTTCGACTTGACCAATGGAACATCAAAGGTGCACTCAGTATGCACCACTGCACCAGTTTTCTCAATGGAAATCGCTATTAATAACTATAGTTGCTTTCAATCACAGACCACCTAGACTGGCCGTATCTAATTCCAATACACGGGTACCAGTGAATGCAAAATCCGGGGAGTGGAGTGTGGAAGGCAATCTGATCGCGCGCATCTTTAAGCAGATCCGGATTAAGTAATATTTTTATTACATATACATTATATTGCATCTTATGACAAATATTCAATTTTAAGTTTGTAATTCAGAAAATTTTAGTGTCATATTAAATAAAACTACAAAATAATTTAAAATATATTTATTGTCCTCTAAATAATATTAATTTATTTAACATTTGTCTTTTCGTAGATTTTACCGAATTAAATAATTTGACTTCATGATTTATTCGTACATCGATATACTTTTCACATTCAGCCCTTACAAGTTCTATTAAATGATTACAATTGTTAGGCAAATTATCAAATTGATGTTCATACAAATTTTCAAATATGTTCACATTTAGAAAGTTTTTTAATACATGATACCCAATTTTATTTTTCTGTAGCCTAGATGTTCTGCTTTTATCATTATTTAAAAATTTTATTAATTTTTCTGTTTCTTAGCATATTACTACGACATCTCGATATGGATACGTCAAACTACCACGATCTTTAATAAAAATTAAATGACTGTACGAATACTGAATCTGAAATTAGTTTTGTTTGCGATTATTTTAATTTAAAAAAATATTTAATTAATTTTCAGCCATCTCGAAATAACGGGAATCGGTAAATTTTGATAAAAATTTAACTCATAAAGTAAATAATTACTAAAAATATTTTACAGTAATTCATTCATTATTTTATAATAACAATATCACGTTAATCACTACACTATGTGGGCGAACAAAATTATAAAGCTAACCCTGGAAACCCTAATTCTCGAGTTTAGTAGTGCCGCTTTCTAGTAATATATGAACAAAATAGTATAGTGCATAGGTATAGCGCAATAATATGCAATTCCGCCTATGATCCGAGTATGCGAATATTTTGTAGTTAATTTTGTTAGTTTATTAAACTTGTATTTAAAATACTATTGGATTGTTATTTTTGTACACCTCATGTTATAAAATGCAATACAGCCCATCTATATTGAATTTAAGAAAACTAAATATATTTTGAAAAAAATATTACATATTTAGATTTTTTATGGTGTATTATGCAACCGCCATTATTCTATGGCTAGAAATTGGCCTCAATGATTTGGGATCGAGGGGGATTATCCCTCTTTATCCTGCCTCATCTCGTGTAGGCC